TGTTGCTCGGACTCTTCAAAAATGTCAATGGGTGCGTGTCGCATTCTCCAAAAGTAGTGTAGTTTTGGAGAATCCAACACGGGTGCGGCATCGAAAGTGAAGAGTCCGCGCAACTTAGGTTAAAACTACAACTTATTTTATATACTATAGTAAAATACTCCCACCGTTCACTTTTGATTGTCCACTTTGGACTTTGCACGCTCTTTTAGAAACAATGATTAATATGAGTATGTTTTACCACAATACCCATATTAATTGATGTATAGTCTTAGGTCTTGGAAAATGTTTTGAGAATAAGTAATACATGTTGAGGGTAAAACATGAAAAAAAATATGTACTTTTATTGATATGCTAAAAGTAACAAGTAAAAGTGAAAATGTATTTTTAGTATAGTAGACAAATAAAAGTGAACGGAGGGAGTATATCTTGTGCCTACCAGCTCTATCACAAAATGATCAATTATAAGCTCTTATGTTTGTTTGATTTTGGTTTTTTTTTTCTTTTTTAGACAAACCTTCAATGCCCAACTCAATCAATTTAAGATAACCCCCAGGCTGTAGCAATTCGCCAACAATCCGGTCTGGCTCTGTCAAATCCCTTTCAATGACGTGAACATTTCGTCCTTCCTGCAGCAGTGGCAAAAAATAAATGTTTAGATGCTAAAGGAGGATCAGGACAATTGGTAAAAGCCACTAGACAAACATTTTCTTGTTTCCTGTTCGTGGACACAAGTTTTAGGAATCAAATGCCAAATTTTCCATGACAGCTAGACTCCTAGTCTTAGTTGCGCGGACTCTCCACTTTTGATGCCGCACCCATCTCGGATTCTCCAAAAATACACTACTTTTGGCCAATCCGACACGCACCCGTTGGCATTTTTGAAGAGTCCGAGCAACATAGCTCCTAGTTTCTTACTACAAGGCAAGCCATTAAAGATCACAACTAACCATCAAGATAAGAATATTGACAGCACCGGCATGTTGGATTAAACAAAATACTCTACTCCCTCTTCCCGAAATGTTTGGCCTATGTCCCTTCCCAAGTTTCAAACTAAGTGAAATTGAGACCACATCATTAAATCGTCTTCTTTTACCATTTTAATACGAGAAGAATTGCAACTTATAATACTTTCCCTATGGTTTCCGGTCATCTCAATTTTCATTAGAGGAAAAATGAATTTATCTACTCCAATTTATCTCTAAAAGTTGGTCCAATTAACTCTTGATAAGCAAAAGTGCCCAGTAAAGGAACTAGTATCTATACATGCAAGTAATTCATATTCAAAATACCTCCTGGAGGGGAGCTAAAAGTTAGATTTTTTCATGAATTTTGCATATACAACAATAACAACAACATACCCAGTGAAATCCCACAAGTGCGGTCTAACGAGGCTAAGGTGTACGTAGACCTTACCATTACCTCATATAGAGAAATTGTTTCCGAAAGACAATCGGCTCGAGTGCAGCAATTTCAGGTATAAAGAAAAAGAAAATAGTGACGAAAACATAATACTAATAAGAGGAATTTTCCATATCCAAAAACAATTTTTTCATCATCCCTCTTTTCATTCCAATATTATGACCTTGCCAATAAGAAAATTTTCATTTCTTTCAAAGGAACTTTTAGAAATATGAAAACCGTAAAGTAGAAAGCAATTGGAAATAGACCTTGGCAAGGGTATGAGCAAGAGCAGCACCAGCAACCCCAGCTCCAACAATTATAACATCCGCATCGGTCCCTTTCTCCGATTTGCTAGAAATTACGTTGTGGGAGTCACATTTTTGGGTTGATTTAGGATCCTTTTTCTTATAATTGGGGGTTCTTGGTCGCAAAATATAAAGAAGAAGAAACCCCAATAGAGAAACAACAAAACTGGGAACAATATATTTATCCATCATGAAATTCACCATTTTCTCGCTCTGAATAAGATCAAATTGTGTATTTCGCAAAGATTTGGTCAAAGAAACCAAAGGTAACTTCAAATTTTTCTTTGTATTTGAATCAGAGGCCTGAGAAAATGGTGATTTGGATGGTGGAGGAGGGGTTGCAGATAGAGGAAATTTGTGTTTGGAGAAGACGAGGGAGAAATTTAGGTAGTTATTGTTTGTATTTATAAGAAGCATCGAAATCCGAAATTGGGGATCCAATTGGACCGTTTGATTTTGGGTGAAAATTGCGAGGATAACAAAACAACACAAGAGATAATATTGAAGTCTGGCAATTGGCAGGACCTCAAGAGTTCCTAGGGGCCAAGTGCAAGAATATTTATTTTTGAGATCGTTATTTAATTAGATCTTATTTGGTTCATTAATATTAAGATTTCTGAATTTAAATACGAATGATTAGTATATCATTTCTAGATCACAAGATTTAAATTATTTTTGTCTATGTAGGTATCTATTTAATGGCTCTTATTATAACTTTGATTTAGGCTACCGATTATTGTAAAGTCCTTAGTACATATAAACACACACTTAAGGCATGTTTGAAAAGTCCTCTTGCTAATTGGATTCGGTATAATTGAGTGCAATTACACTATTTGACATGTTTGATTTTGGTCAGGAAGATCGGCTGTAGAGGAAAACCTATAGTTAAACCGAGAATCGCAGCCGAAGTTTGCTAAAGAGTCTGCCACTTTGTTGTTTTCTCTAAATGTATAGACTCAAGCACTCAGCAGTTAATTAGATGTAATTGACAGGGATAATTACACTCTCTAATCTCCAATTCACAAGGGTGTGAATTATTGATAATTACATTGCGTAATTATAAGCATTACTTTTTAATTTCTTCTATTTATTTTTATTTTTATTTTTTCATTTTAATTTATTTTTTATTTTTATTATTCTAATGTTTTCCAAAGATATATATATATATATATATATATATATATATATTTCGTTCTCATCAACCTTTACTTCATGTGATTCAATGCAATTTTTCGTATTATCTATTTTATTTATTTTTATCTTTTTCATTAGTATAGTTTTGTTATTATTCCAATTTTCAAATTAAAATAGAATTCATTGTTGAATAAGGTTATGGATATACATTTTCCTTTTCTTTTAAATCATATATATGTATGTTGTGTTGAAATTTGACATAAGAGTATTATGTTAATTTTTTTGTTTTGAATTTAGAACTTATTATATTTTCAATTTCATTTGTTTTAGGAGTATTAAATCGATATTTTATATTGCAATCTATTTTTTTAGTTAGACTTGATAGATTATCTTTTGCCAAATATTTTTATAGTTTTATGACATTATATTTATAATATTAATCTTTTTATCAAACATACATTTCATGATGTTCATAGAAATTTTGTACTTTTAGTTTTTATAATTAATTTAATTAAAATATACTAATTTGAAAAATATAAATTAATTATTTTTACAATATTAATTAAGACATATGTTTATTAATTAATATCATTTATAAAGGCCCTTATTTATCTAATATAACTGTTTAATTTTAGATAAATAATTTTAATTTTTAAAATTAAATATAATCTTATGATTACACTTGTACAATCAAATAATACACTTATAATTACACTATACACGTGACAAACAAACATATCATTATAATTACTAGGTTGTGTAAAGTATAATTACTAAATTGATAATTAATAATTACACTAATTCTAATTACCTGACTTTCCAATGTCAATAATACTTATAAATTTACTTTTTAAATGCATTGCAATTAGTGATGACAAATGAACTGAACTAACGAATTTGGGCGTGTTGAAATAAAATAATCCCATCTTTCCTAAATGAATCAACTATTTGAAAATTTGTTCTCTTTTAGCATTCCATTGTATTTCTTTTCTGAAACATCAGATATTCACATCTACACATTTTTGATGATTCATCACAAAAAAAAATGTTATAGATTCCTTTGTTATAATTTTTTTAAAAATAAAATATGATAAAGTTCTTATATCGATATCACAAAAAGTTCGTATCATATTGACAAATCATGAAAACATAACTTTGAACACGCCTAAATTTTAAAATAAATGATGATAAATTAGTTTCTTTATAATATTTATTTTTTTGAAGATTAATCGGAAAGTGAGTATCTGAAGTTTAGTGACAAGAAAATTATTTAAATATAACAGAGAAAGAAAAATAAAGCAATTGCTTTTAACACTAAAAAAAGGTTACTGTCTAGTTATATCACAAGATAAAATTGAAACAAACAAAAATGTTAATTTAGTTAATTGATAAAATTATCCGCAGAAAAGTTTTTCTAATTCTATCAAATGTAGTACATGTATGACCAAAGTGAGAAAAAAATTTGAAATAGTCTTTTATTTTTGAGTTAAAATTTAAAGTCATACTAAAATTTTTATATAAAGAACTAATAGTCCCTCATGTTTGCATTATTAATGTACTTTTGGTCCTTCCTTAAATTTTTATCTATTTTTTAACATTGATTTTATCCACAATTTATATATGAGATGTTTAATCATCTTTTTATATATTTAGTAGAAATAATAACTCTATGTTAGAGAAGGTGAGAAGAAGAATACCTTATTTTGTTTAGTAAAAATATTATTACAGCTAAAATTTCACGTGCAATAGTACAAATTTTTATTTTCTTACAACGTCATATGTCAAGATATTCTTAGTTTAACTAAAATAATATTCATACCGAACAGAACAAGATGTTCTTCTCACCTTATCTTCATGGAGTTATTGTCTACTAAATATATTTAAAAAACGATTGAACATTTCATACTTAAAAATTGTGGCCAAAATCAACGTTAAAAAATAGGCAAAAAAATTAGAGGAGGACTAAAAGTGCACCTATATTACAAATGTGAGGAATGATTAGTGCTCCATGTAAAAATACAAAATGACTTTGAATCTTAATCGAAAGATAAAAGACTATTTTAGACTTTTTCTCGACCAAAGTTGGTCAAGTTTAGCAAGTTACGTACATCATCATAAAAGTAAAATATTAGATCGAATACGCCCTGCAAAAAATTGGGGGAGGACTGAAAGTGCACTGATATTACAAATATGAGAAACGATTAGTACTCCATGTAAAAGTTAGAAATGACTTTGAATCTTAATCGAAAAAAATACTATTTTAGACTTTTTCTCGACCAAAGTTGGTCAAGTTCGACAAATTACGTACATCATCATAAAAGTAAAAGATTAGATTAAATACACCCTGCAAAAAATGTTAAACAATGTGTTATTTTACCTTAGAATGATAAGTTGAAAACAAAAAGAATAAAAAAAAAGACCGAGAAAGGAAAATAACAGAGTATGACAAATTAAATAACTTATAATTAAATATAAGAAATGCTAAAAATTAAATGAGTTTTTTTTGTAGCATAAGTCACAAGAAATGAGAATGATTGATTTTTATTTTCTAATAAATATGTACGAATAATTATCTACTCTATGCATATTCAGGACTAATTGCAGCCTATTAATCAATATATACTCCGTCTAATTCATATTAAGTGAATTATTGAATTTTGATACATCCTTTAAAAAAAAAATTATAGACATAAATTAAAGATTATTCAAGTTATTTCCAAACTATTCTACTAGAAAATATAAACATTTAATACCTTTATTAAATGAATAATAAATACAAAAAAGAATTCTCAATATTTTCCTGGAACTTTGAATAATTAACTTATTTTAAACTATAATATCAACAATTCACTTAATATAGACCAAAGAAAGCACTCTTTCAACTATGGAAAAGAAAAAGAAAAACATCGCATGCTTTTTTAGTTATATTAGGGCAAAAGACATAAATTGCCCCCTAAACTTGTACCCAAAAGTCATTTACACACTTAAACTAATGGGATGACCGATTACACACCTTAACTACATAAAAGTATATTTATTTCCCCCTTCCGTCACCCAACCCAGGACATTATGCCTAGAGTGAGAGCCACTCGCCTCCTAGTGAAGTCACGTAATAAAAGACCCCAATCCGTTTCATTTGATCCAAACCCGTTTCTTTTCACCCAAATCCGATTCTTTTCACCCAAATCCGTTTTATTTTACCCTTGTCCATTTATTTCACCCACCCGTTTCCTTTCTCTAAGAACATCAAAACCTAATCATAAATTTCGTCTGTAAATTCTAATTTTAGCTAAAGATTTCTTCGATTCTGTAGTGTTTTTGAAGCAGATGATGGTGACTTAGTAGATTCTCCCATGTCAGATATTATTTTCTGTAAGTATTTTTTGCGGGAGAAGGACACCAGAACATGAGGGTGTGGAGAGAGTAAGACACCAAAGTTTTTCAGAGAAAGAATTGAAGAAGCAGAAATTTTGTGGAAATGAAAAAGAGAGGAATGAATCAAAATGGAAAAGAGATGAATGAATAATAATGAAAAAGAGTTACCTTTGATTCAAAAGAAGGAATTTTGAACTATGTTTGAATTTAGGGTTTTTGATTAAGATTTTTGGGTGAAAATTTAGGGTTCTTGTTCATTAGGGTCGGGTGGGTGGGTTATAAGAAGATAATGGGAATATAACCGTTGGATTCGGGTTTTTTAATTAAAAAATTAAATAAAAATGATTTTATTAGCGTGTTGATGCGCTCAACTATGTGGAGCAAAACGCGCCTTGAGTTGGGTGACGGAAGAGGGAAATAAATATATTTTTATGCACTTAAGGTGTGTAATAGGTCTCTCCATTAATTAAAGTGTGTAAATGACTTTTGGGTACAAATTTAGGGGGAAATTTATGCCTTTTGCCTTATATTAGCTAAAAATTTACAGGATTGTAATAAGGTTTGAAAATCACTTTCAAAAGAACTTTCCCCTAGGCCCTAGTTAATAGCTATAAATGTAGACTATAAAGAAGTTTTAAAGATGATTGAAATAGAAAATGACTGATACACACACCTATTTATCATTTGTTAATTTTTTTTAAAAATTCATTCCATTTTTAGAGTTGGTATGGCATGCTTCGACTAAAATCTGAATCGTGTATTGCAGAGCCTATTTGAAAATAACGCTCCTAACAAGAATTTCTTCGTATCTAGGCTCAAATTCGAGACCTCTAATCAAGGGTAAAACAATCATCTCCCTTCATTTTTGTTTACCACTGTTTCAAAAATATTATTTTATTTTTACCTATCATTTTTCACATATCAAAGAAAAAGTAATTTCTTTATATGTTTTACTCTTAGCATTATTTTATAGGAGTACTAAACATCCAAGAATAGGAATAGTGTGATAAAATAATCATGTCAATTATTTTTCTTAATGAAGGTGACAAATTCAAATATGACGAGTGAAAGTAAATCGAGAGAATATTATAAATACCAACTCATAGTAGTAAACTAAACAAAATTGAAACACTTACTTGAAACTCCATTAATTCCCTGTACTTTAGGTGTCATCTTCAGTATTGACCTGGAGAATTTTCACAAAGTGATCTTTTCCACCATTGTTTTCTTTTGTATTGTCCTGGGGAATTTTCACCAAGTCATCTTTTTCACCATTGTTTTCTTTTGTATTGTCCTGGGGAATTTTCACCAAGTCATCTTTTTCACCATTGTTTTCTTTTGTATTGTCCTGGGGAATTTTCACCAAGTCATCTTTTTCACCATTGTTTTCTTTTGTATTGTCCTGGGGAATTTTCACCAAGTCATCTTTTTCACCATTGTTTTCTTTTGTATTGTCCTGGGGAATTTTCACCAAGTCATCTTTTTCACCATTGTTTTCTTTTGTATTGTCCTGGGGAATTTTCACCAAGTCATCTTTTTCACCATTGTTTTCTTTTGTATTGTCCTGGGGAATTTTCACCAAGTCATCTTTTTCACCATTGTTTTCTTTTGTATTGTCCTGGGGAATTTTCACCAAGTCATCTTTTTCACCATTGTTTTCTTTTGTATTGTCCTGGGGAATTTTCACCAAGTCATCTTTTTCACCATTGTTTTCTTTTGTATTGTCCTGGGGAATTTTCACCAAGTCATCTTTTTCACCATTGTTTTCTTTTGTATTGTCCTGGGGAATTTTCACCAAGTCATCTTTTTCACCATTGTTTTCTTTTGTATTGTCCTGGGGAATTTTCACCAAGTCATCTTTTTCACCATTGTTTTCTTTTGTATTGTCCTGGGGAATTTTCTCCAAGTCATCTTTTTCACCATTGCCTGTTTCTTTCTCTAGTGGCTTTGCACTCTCATTAACTACATCACAAACAAACTTATCATGTAGTGTAATTTTAAAGGCTTTAAAATACATCACACAATTATATATTGCTTGTTTCTAGACTATATATAAAATTCAAACGTCTTTCTTTCATTCTTAAATTGTATATCCAGTCAAACATTATTATATAAACTGGGATAGATACTTATTATAAAGAATAATTTATAATTACCTTATAAACTTTATGAAATATTACATAAACTCACAAGTAAATCCAATAGAGTAGATGAAAACTGAATTACCTGGAAGTGAACCATTTCTAACAAGTTGAACCTCAGTATTATTGCATTCTTGGTCATTCCCTTCATTTATCACATTATTCTGAGCAAAAGTTGAGTAAGAGCCCCTATTATCATCCACTTGATTATGTGTTGAACCGTAGCAGTTGACTGGATATCTATGCGTTGAACCGTAGCAGTTGATTGGATATCTATGCGTTGAACCGTAGCAGTTGACTGGATATGTAGGGGTAAAATATGGTACCACAGGCTGTGGGGGAACAAATAAATTTGTACCCAAATGATTAAACGAACTAGTCCAATTAGTGGGTACCATAGTATGATTGTGGCAATAATGAGGGGCAAAAATCCCATTATTACAATCATAAATTTGCCACATTCCATTGCCAGAATTTGTAGGGTAAAAATTATGATAATAACTATTCATAACTCTCCGTTCCCTTGGCTCTGCTTTTTTGACCTCAACATATTTATTTTTCAACCAGTGAAGTTTCTCTTGCAATACATGTGTTACAGATTCTTCTGAATCATAAGTGACAAACCCAAATCCTCGAGGCGTTTTGGTTTCTTTATCGGAGATAAGGTTTACTTGTGAAATTGTTCCAAATTTTTCAAAATACGTTTTAAATTCTTCTTCCGATAAACTAAGAGGCAATCCACCAACAAAAATCTTTCTTCTGTTGCTATTGCTAGTTTCACTATTTTGTCTTTGAGATTGTTGGCATTCTGAACAAGGACTTGCACCTTTAGGTATTGCCAATTTAACATCAACCTACAATAATAATCATCAAACACAAAGCACATATGAATAATAATTGATTGCCTTGATGGTCGCTCAACTTATATAGTTACATACAAACTTTTCATGCCTTGTGTAAGTCCACAAAGTGAGATCTAGAGAGGAAATCTTACTAGCGGTTATTTAGCTCAAGAAAAAATAGACCAAAATAGTATAAGAAAAGAAATATACAAAATTGATTAAAAATTAACTTCTTATATCTTTTCTTTTTTGAAAAATACAAAATTGATTAAAAGTTTTACTTATTAAATTCTTAATTTTGTGAACTGAAAAGACAAACCCCATCCTCCCTGTAAAACCTTTTCACACACGCACTCGATCAAAAGGTTTTTAATTGCTTTCTGGCCGTCAGGCGTCAGGCCTTTTTTTTATCTAATTAACTCAAAGTAAGGTTTTCTTACAATTCTATAAAAAAAAAAATTATAAAAACTTTGGAAATTAAAACTTTTTAATTTTTCTTTTTTTCTTACAACAAAGGGGATTTTGTATGCATAAGAATATTTTCTACGGTAAATTACATAAATCCAATAGTTTTAATATGAAATTACAATTTACTCCTAATAAGTTTCTAATTACATTAATCCCTTAAAAATTAAAAAAACTGGATATAATAATTGAAGCTCGGATACATTAAATACTGTCTCGGATACATTAAAAACTAGCTCGGATACATTAAAGAAATAAGGGATTTTGGAGATTTTTAAAAGTAATAGGGGATAATGGAAATAAATGAAACAAAAGGTGTCTATTACTATAATTTGTCCTTAAAAGAAACACATAAAAATTTCACGTGGTAATGCAGATTTTATTGTAAAACTTTTTTTTTTTTAAAAAAAAACGAACATGAAATTGAAATTTTATGTACTGACATCACGTCACGGTGATTATGCATGATAAACAAAAGTTGTAATATAAAAAATACAAGTAGTAATTTAAAATTATATTATCAGTTAAATTTGAGACAAAAAAAGAAGAGAAAGTCGTGCACTTAGTACCGTTCTTCCAAGGATTATGTGCTGCTGATGAAGAAGTTGATTGATAACAGAAGAATCGGCAAACGTAACAAAACCAAAACCTTTTCCACAATTAGTCTCCCTAAATTTGATTACCTGTGACTTCACCACTTCTCCATAACGACTAAAGTGTTGCGTAAGTATTTCTTCACTTGTCTCCGCCGATATTCCCCCAACAAATATTTTCCCTTGCACACAATTACTCTCCATTGATGAGTATGAAAAATAATTTCAAAACTAAAATTCAAAGAGTTTAACTTGTATGTACGGACAAATCATGTATGAGGGAGAGAAAAAGAAGGAATTATGAAAGAGTCACAGTTCGATTGAAAGTGCCCTTAATTAATTTTATAATCTTACTATATTTGTGGGTTTTCTAATAGTACGAGGAAACCCGCTTATTTTGGGGCAATATCCCAATAAACCTAGGTAAAAAGGCGGGCTCCACTGATAAGAAAAGGAAAATTTTGTGTTTGTGTGTGTGTGTGTTTTTTTGAAAGAAGGCACGGCATCATAAAAAATGTTCTTTTAAAAAAAAATTATTAGTTAAATACAAACACTACATAAGTACTTTTTCGAGAAATAATTATGACTAAAATACTTTTTTCCAAATAAACAAATTTTAAAAGCTTGATCAAACAAATTATAAAGTTATTTCAGTAAAATGTCTATTTATAAATATTTAACTAAAGGATGTAGAATGAGATTCAACATTACAAAGGTTAGTTTTCCTATGAAATACCTGAACCAAATAAAGTAGGATGATACAAAATTTACCAAAACATAACCTTTGTGATTTTTCAGTACTAGATTCTGTAATATACTTTCAAATTTTGACATGGACTATTTACCTCTCATTCTCCTCATATATTAAAGGTTTATGCACTATATAACATTTTGTTTGGTTGGGGAACAAGTTATTTCACGATTTTATCCTAACCCATCCTAAAATTAAAAGTTATCCCTTATTGCTCGTACCAAATGAGCCCTTAGTTACGACTTCCAGATTTACATACAACATATATACAATTGGAAAACTAAACCAATATATGCATCTACTTCCCTTGGAAATTGGAATAGAGATGAAACACACAGTTATGCAACAGGAACTTTGCAGCAAATATCAAAGATATCTTCCATAGGAGCATGGTCACCGGTCCCTTCATCCTTCCATGCGTACAACAACTGCTTCCCTTTAAACAGAAACATCCCTCCCTGATATCAACATACAAATGAATATCTCACACACGCCAAGGGCTCGAGAGAAATTATGATTATACACGTGCTAAACGAGTGTGTAGGACTACATTTGGGTCAAAACAATATACGGGTTGGATCACAATCTGCTCAATAGTTTCTTGGGTCAAGACGAGCCCATTAATTTAGACTAAACAATAGTCATAACCCCAAGCCGTCCAAGTCAAATTTATATGTTTCATTTGCTCATTTATAATTTGTTTAATTAGTAAATTAAACTAATAAAGCTTTATTCTTTTGTTTATCATATATCAAACTCAAAAAGGGTTACTTAGCTTTTTTTATGGGTCAATTTGTGCTTCATATGCAAGCCTAAATTGGTCCAATCTTTTACATGAGTTGACTTGGGCTATGCCCGAAACGACCTGCCAACTAATATATATCCAGACTAACCCGCTCACGTCTGGATTAACCCAAGGATGAACTGGACAGGGTTATACTTTTATGGCCTAAACATGACACTCCTAGTTCATGAACAATAATGCAGCAGTAGAAGGAAGAGCTTAAACCTGCTGCAAGACACCACTTCTGTCATCAGGGGTTGCTTCAATGGTGTAGTTCTTCGTAGCTTCCCGCAGTTCATTGAATCTAGAGAGCACTTTAGCCTGACAAGTAAAGGGAAAAAATTAGTTAAAGATCAAGTCATTCTCATGGAGCAGAATGATCATTTTTATGAAGGGAAACTCCTTGAGATCATTACACTAGCTGGGTTGAAAAATGTGCGGCCAATGCCATAATACAGGCCTAGAACATCGTATGCCTGAGATACAAGGGAAGTGTCAAAATCTTCAAGAAAAAATCGTCAAAGGCAAAATGAAGCATTCACATAGTTGTGGAGATAGACAGATACTAACCTTACGGTCCGGATCAGCATACAAGCAATCCAATGGAAATGGTAACTGGCCATAAATATGAAGCAAAAAAGAATCAGCTCAGGATCCTTAAAATATACAATCAAGTTGTTGAAAGCATGATAAGTTCACAGTTTAAATTAAGAAGTATGCCACAGTACTAAATAACTTTGGGTCACCTCAATGAATCACCATTATTGGTTATTTGACAAAACATAATGAAAACAAACAGTGCCCATAAATCATGAAGTCTAGTCATTGTGTTACTTAAGCACAATTTCTGAGATATACTTGCTAGTCCTCCTTATGTAATTCATTTCGTAGGGAAATCAACTTTCCCTTCTAGTCCAGATTCCGAGATAAACACCAATATTTGGAGACCTTACTTTATTCAACATCAAGGACATATCACAAATGAAAAATCACTATGTATGTCGTGGGACATCCGTTTATTTTCTTAAACAAACATAGCATGCAAAACAAGGATAAAGCAAAATGCCAGACACAGAACGAAAGAAGGATTCAAGTCCCTGGATTAATTCCCAACCCTTATTCTTCTTCTTTTTTAAAACTGAACCCTTATTCTTCTTAATATTGTATAAATTAGTTATTACCAAAACTCCAATTTTAATTGACGTTTTTCAGTAGCACATGTTTTTAACTCATAATATGTAGATATCAAACCTCCAATATTAGTCCACATTTGCAGCAACAGCAACAACAACAACAACAGTGCTCTTTGTTATCCGTGGTATTGGGGCCAGCTTGTACGCACCTTAACATAAAAAGTTCTTGATATTTTTATTGGTAAAATCTGCAATAAGGTTAAAATACTCCTGGAAAAACAATAGGTTCAAAATCCACACTAATATGACTAAAAATTTATTCTCAAATCTCAACTAGTAGATATCACTTATATAGATCTTTTTCTTCCATTGTCGTCATATTCTTAGCTAAGTTTGCATTGGTTCCAAGAAATTATAGCTCTTTCGAGACAACTTATTTCCCCATGATTTTAGGTCTACCTCGTTCCCTTTTAACATCTTCCATCACCATAGTTTCACATCTACAGAACGATGCATGCGTAGGTAGGTCGATTAAAGACATGACCAAACCATCTCAAGCGACCTTCTCTCGTTTTATCCTCAACTCGTGTTACTTGCACCTTTTGGAGATATGGTCATTTTTAATCTTATCTGATCTTGTATGACCACATATCCATCTTAGCGTTCACATCTCTGGAACACTCATCTTGTGAATATGTTGGAATTTAGTGATCCAACATTCACTACCATATAACATTATCGGTATACTTGTCCTTTAGAACTTACCTTTCACTTTGGTAGACATCCTCCGATTACATAAAACCTTAGTAGTAGTTTTCCTTTTCAACAACAACACCAACATATCCAATGTAATTCGCAGGTGGGGTTAGGAAGGTAGAGTGTACGCAAACCTTACCCCTACTGGGCTGTTTTCGAAAGACCCTTGGCTCAATAGTTTTCCTTTTCAACCATCTAATATTCTATGAGTAACGTTCATCTGCCATTCCATTCTCGTGAAACAACAAGCCTAGATACTTAAGCATTTGGCACCACAGTCTCATTTAGCCTCATCTCAACTTCGCTCTTCTCATGCGGACTAAACTTGTCGTGCATGTATTCAGTCTTACTTCTATTCATCCTAAAACCCGTACTCTCTAACTGCTTCTTCATTGATCAAGCTTCTGGTTGACATCCCTGCTGGTTTCAGCAATTAACACTTTTGTCAGCAAATAGTACACCCCACAGAACCATCTTGTATTTTGTTGGTTAGCTCATTCATAACTAGGTAAACAGGTAGGGACTCAATATCAATCTCTGTTATAGACCCAATGTTATAGGAATTTTTTTTGTATCTCCTACTACTATTTCACACTAGTAACAACTTCTTTATACATGTCCTTTATGGCATTAAGATATTTAATATGGACTAATTTCATTTCCATCACCCACCAAATGACCAAAGGACCTTTCATGGTACTTTATCATATGTTTTCTCTCGATGACACCATGTTTAGATCTTTCTTCTTTTCACGATAAATTTTGATCAATCTTCTTAGCAGGAATATAGCCTTTGTTGTAGATCTACCATGCATAAATCCATATTGGTTCTCTGTTTAGGACATACTAACTCTATATTTAAGTAGCAAAATCAAGCAAACTTCTTCCAAATCAGAATAGAGGCAGATTCAGACAAACAGTATTAAATTTCAACCGACGACATATAGTTCTATGCTTCCAAACTAAGGTCAGTCAAGAGTTAAGGCAAGTCACACACTATTTTCTTGCAGAAACCACATTTTGACATTTCTTGAATCAATTATGTGGTGTTTGTTTGTGGACTTGACTTGCAAATAAAGAGATTTAAGCTTGCATGTTAACTTTTATTCATGAAACTGAGAACGCTATTGTAACTTGAACTTGAATATATTTTTTCAAGTTGAAGGCGTATTTCGAGTAAGCTTTCACAAATATTCAACTTCCACTCATGGATTTCAACTCTGAATGAAACAATTCAAACAAAACTTCAACTTTGAATTTAAATATGTTTCTGAAGGAACCTTAAGTTCATGGAGCCAAGTGAGCCAGAAGTTTGATATGACATGTAAGACCTTAACTAGCTTATTTGAAACATTAGAAATAATATGTCAAAGAACTAAATCATTCGAAGTAACAGCCAAGGTGAAATGAAGATACCCTTTCAGCAAGAATACGTGCTTTGTTAGGAGCACCAATACCAACTGCAATTAGCTTTACACCAGCAGAATCAAATCTCTCCTTTGTCTCTTTGAGTGCTTTAGCAAGTTCCCAGCTAACAAACAGCAATGCATATCGAACGAGAATATCAAAAACAAAAATTGTAGATAAAACACCAAAACAAAAGGTCTTGATAGAAAAGTGAGGTCATAATTTACCAGCAAGGACAGCCAAAATGCCTCAGAAGTGCAACAACAGCTACTCCCTGGTGAAGAAAACGACCCAATAACAAAATGTAATTATGTTACCAGAAAACGTCGGTCAGCCATTTGAAATTCATGAAACGGAGGTAGGTAAGGGTAACTACAGGATAACATAGGCTACAAGCCCCATTTTTCCATTTAAACCATATATGCACCACCAAATTGTTTGCCTTAAGTTTCTAATCTTCCCTACCCCTATTTAGTAATTTTCCTTTTTTTTCTTCTGTATTGTTTCAGTCAACCTGGGCATACCTTAAATTTAATGTACTAGTTATACTGTTATCTTTTTATTATTATTTATTTTTTAATGACCATGGTGTCCGCACTACCTTTAGCACACCTCAACTAATTCCACGAGATACATGTCACCTCCCACCAGCACTAGGTATCAGGTAACTCTGACCACTCTGACCACCTAGGCTAGTACAAATGAGAAGAACCACCTAGTATTTTTGTTTCAATTGAGATTTGAACCTGCGACATCAAGGCTCTCAACCACTTCATTAGCCACTAGTTGTATTGTTATAGTAAGAAAGGATTTCTCTTTACAGTTTATCTGGGTGATTGTTAAGTATTGTTTGATAATGTATCATATTGTGTTATATTGTATTGTACTGTATTGTTTTAATGAATGTAGCGTTTGAATAGATTGTATTGTTCTCCGTCATTACATAATGTCACACATAGAAAAGTAGGGTACGTGGTAGAGCTACTATGAAAAAGATAGGGTAAAAGGGGTCTCAGACAAGGGGATCCCTTGTCACCTTTTTTATTCCTGATCACTATGGAGGGTTTAAACAACATGATAAAAGCTGCTAACTTGAGAGGATGGATAAGGGGTTTTGATGTGGCCAGAGAAGGTACTGAGAGACTAGAAGTCACACACTTGCAATATGCAGATGATACCTTGATTTTCTGCGATGCTGAGGAAGAACAACTGAAGTATCTAAGAGTGATTCTAATCTTATTTGAAGGTATTTCTGGTTTGCATATCAACTGGAGGAAGAGTATGATGTATCCTATAAATGAAGTAAACAACATGAGTTGTTTAGCATCAATTCTGGGTGGTGAAATAGGAGTTCTGCCTACTATATACTTGGGAATGCCTTTGGGGGCCAAATCCAAGTCCATAGACATGGAATAGTGTGATTGAGAAGTGTGAGAAGAAATTGGCCAAGTGGAAGTCTCAGTACTTATCAAAGGGGGGTAGACTGACCCTTATTAACTCAGTACTTGATGCTTTGCCAACCTATATGATGTCCCTGTTTCCTATCCCACCAGGGGTCATTAAGAGGTTGGATCGTATCAGGAGGAATTTTTTGTGGCAAGGCAACAAAGAAAAGAAAAGTTTTCATTTGGTTAAATGGGAAGAAGTCATGACAAGCAAGGAAAATGGAGGTCTAGGAATAAAGAATTTGAAATTGCAAAGCAAGGCTCTTAGTATGAAGTGGTTGTGGAAGTATGCAAACAACAACCAGATGCTATGGAGGAAAGTAATTGGAGCTAAATATGAAGAAGAGGACAACTGGATAACTAAAGATGTAACCACTCCTTATGGTGTTAGCCTCTGGAGGTCCATCAGAAGCTTGTGGAATGAAGTTAAAAGTAACTCAAAGGCAAAAGTAATGGATGGGAATAAGACCAGATTTTGGAAGGACATTTGGCATGAGAAAGGCAACATGGAAGATCTCTTTCCAGACATCTACAACCTAATCATGTTTCAACAAAGTACTATAGCAGATCTTTGGTCACCACAAGGATGGAATTTCATTTTCAGAAGAAACCTTAATGATTGGGAAATAGTGAGAGTTGCTGAATTTTTAAACACTGTGAACACTTTCACTGGACTACAGCCAGGTGAGGATAAATTGTGGTGGACAGGAGATGACAAGGGAGTGTTCAAAGTCAACAAATCCTACAAGTTGATGGATCAGACAGATCAACAGTGCTCAAGTTGGCCTTGGAAGCAAATATGGAAGAGCAGAATCCCTCACAAAGTCTCCTTTTTTGTCTGGTCAATGGCTAAGGAAGCAGTCCTTACACAGGACAATGTTATGAAGAGGGGGAGAACCCTGTGTTCTAGGTGCTTCCTATGTGGTGAAACATCTGAGACTGTTAACCATCTATTTTTACATTGCAAGTACACCCATCATCTGTGGAGATTATTCCTAAGCCTCAAAGGCATCTCCTGGACAATGCCCAGGAAGGTGGCTGAGGCATTATTATGCTGGGAGGAAGCAGGTGTACATGCCAAGGATAGAGGTAGATGGAGAATTATCCCGGGGGCAATCTGATGGGCTGTTTGGAAGGAAAGGAATTCAAGATGTTTTGAGAGCATAGAGAACAATGTGCAGAAAGTTAAACTAAACTGCATTTTACTTTTAGTCTTTTGGTGTAATCAGTTATACTCTAATGACACTGTATCTATTATTGATGTGTTAGACTCAATTTAGACGTAGAGAAGTGAAATCAGGAGTACTCTTGTATATAAGGTTACAGTACGACCCATGTACTGTTTTGTGATATAATACAAAGTTACCAAGTTCAAAAAAAAAAAGATAGGGTAAAAGATAAAATATAATTATTAAATAATTTAAATAAAGACAAAATGAGAATAAAATATTAAGGTAATGATGCGATCACACCAAATCGATCATTACATAAAATATGGGTCTTTTCGTTGTTTCATAAGGATGGATTTAAATCAAAAGATACAATAGATTTTAAGTAATAATCAAAACAAACATTGTATTTAAACTAATAATACAGTACCATACAACAGGTAACAACCATCCAAACAAACAAGGTGTAAGCAATTCAAAAAAATCCCCAAAAATAGGAAATTGAGTTGTTAGAATTGTGAAATAGCAATACCTCATTTTGATCCCAAAGGTCCTCAAACTTGACGGACTGACCAGTAGCAGTGAAAATTGTAACATCTGCAAGTACATCACCAATGTCTTGAGGAAAGGCAGCGGTGGAAGCAGCAGCTTTAGGCACAAAATTAGAAATTCGTTTTGGTGTAGTGGCGGTGAGAGAAATAGCAGAGGAAGGGAAAGGGTGAAGAAACTTGAAGGTGTTGGGAGTGGAAGAGAAGGAACAAAAAGAAGGAAATTTTGTAGCAAGTGTTAGGCTACTCTGCTGCAGAGATGCCATGGTTGCAAGTTGCAATTGGGTTGAAATGAAAACTTGTGGAAGAAATATGTAGCAAAGAAAATTGGCAACTTCTTAGCCCAATTTTTCTAGCTAGAGTACTAGATCAAAATATAACCATCCATTTTTATTTTCGTGGCTTTACTAAGTTTGGACTAGACTAAATTTATCATTCAAAAATCAAAACAGGATATTTCATTTATTTTATTTTTAAGGTGGAATTTATCTCGATGAAGTAGCAAATATAGCATTTAAAGGGTTGTCATCAAAATAAGTCATAAGAAAATACTATAAAGTATGAAAATTTGTTAGTTAAAAGTATTTTTAACTATGACTATTTTTATTAGGCAAAATTAAATTCGTTGATTTTTGAGAACTTATGGTATGTGGCATAACTTAAGTCAATAAATTTATGTTTTAGGCTTAATTTTTTTTTTTTGCCTTCAAATATAATATGTGTCACTACGCTTGTGCCTTGGAGTATTACATGTGTAATCTTTTTGTCTTGAGGCATAACTTATACCACTGAATATATACCTTGTGGAAATTTTCTTTTGAGTTACAACTTTTTTTGTTTAGTTTTTTCGATGCCAGAGACATCTTCAATCATTCTTTTTACTTAAAGCTCTGAAGGGAAAGAATTGAAGATCAATAATTTAAAGTGGTAAAAATTTAAAGACCACTCCAAAATTGGGGCATTCATGTGATGGACCCAAAAAAAAGAGACAAATTCATAAAAAGATGTAGTTTAAGGTTTTTTTTAAAAGAATTATTTAGTTTAAGGTTATATTTCAATGCACAAGGATAATATTCTTATTATATATATAACTTTGCGATTTCTCTTCTTTTTTTAATAAAAAAAATATTTTTTGAATTATTTATATCTAGGATACAATTCTTGTAATTGCGCTGATATTTGACTGACAAGAGCAATTAACAGAATGGCGTAATTTAATTAGGTAAAGTAGGTAATTTTCAAAAATTAGGATTGCTTTGTCTGTTGATTTAATGCGTCACTAGGTAGAATCAGTTCGTCGGCACTTGATTACCTGTGTATTGCGCTTTGCAAAAAGCGCAAGTGGGCAACGCTCTTTTAAAAACTTAATAACTGCAAAATCTGTCAAATTTCCACTTACTTCCGCAAATCGATATTCCAAATTCCTTGCTTTGATAGCAATCATTGGCCCCGTTTCACTTATGCAATTGATGGTAGTATTATAAAAAATTTATGCTTCTTGAGGATTTAGTTATTAAAATTGTCAAGCAACTGAGGATAGACAGATGTAGAAAAAATGTAGCAATAAAGTATCAAGTTGAAGGTAACTGTGCTCCAATTAAAGCTAGTAACGGTATGAGCATGAGTGTAATGTTGCCTGTTGGATTGAAGAAACAGCGCAAGGACTTAAAATAAGTATCTTATTAGTATTAAATAACTATATAATGGAAAAGAAGTTAAATTTAAAGTTTCGAAAGATCATTAATAATAAATTTTTCGTCAGAAACGTGTCAGATAAACAGAAGGTCAAAACGAAGTCACTATTCAACAGATTGATAAAGTTAACTGAAGTATACATTTCCCTCAATAATTTCTTACCAAAACCATGATCATAACCTAGAATATAAAAATCAAATACAACAACTAAAAGAGCATAGACAATACACTTGAGATACAACACAGAGTGCTAAAATTCATCATTCAACAACCCCTGATGAAAAATTCCAACTTAAGTCATAACCAAAATCCAAGGACCATTCAGTATGTCCACACACAAAGTAAGACATAAGCTAACAACAACAGTGTACTTGCAACTCACACACCTATAAACTTCAACACTCCTCTCCAAAACCTCCTCATTCATAAATTCAACATATCTTCTCAAACACTCCCACAACTTCTCCACAAAAGATCTAACACACTCAAAAACAACTCTTCCACTCAAATCAAGAATATACCTTTTACTCATTGGCACAGTTAAAGCAGAAGTAGACACTTTATCATCCATTTCTGTACTTGTCAAAATTTGATGAGAAGTTTTGACAAATGTTTCTGTTGCACCATTACATATGGCCACCAGCATTTCTCTCATTTTCGCTTCATTCTTTGGATTTGTCAAACCAGAAAAGATTTCATTGTAAGTGTTGATATTCATTGTTTTGTCTAGATAAACAGTAACAGCAGTGCTCACAAATACTTGTACACAATTCCCTATCAGAGTATCAACATATTCAGGAACAGAGTAACCCTGTTTAACAGAACAAAATGTAAGTACCAAATTCCTGGTGAAATTCCCAACAATTACAGAAGCAAAACCACATCCTGCATCAGAAAACAGTTTATTTAAAACCTGATCGAACAAATCAGAATCTAATTCCTCTGTTTCTTGATTACAACAACCTTGAAGAACTCCGATAGTCAAAGCACTAGTGACCTTAACAATTGACTCTGAAAACTCAGCTATATTGGTAATTTTGGAAATTTGCTTCAAACTTTTTGGAATTTGATCAGAATTTGATAACATAAACTCCTTTAGATCTTTAGAGAAAATCCCAATTGTATCAGCAGAATCAGACACCATTTCAGCTAAAGAAACAACTGAACCAAGAAACTTTAACAATCTTTCCCTCTTTTTAACCATAGATGGTGAGTAATAAGCTTTATATGCACCAAAACCAGTGACACCAAGAGCTCCCAAAGCAACAAGCAAGTTCTTGTTTTTTTTAGTATACCCCATACCCTTTTTTATTTGTTTCATATCCATACAATTCAGAGCACAATCTCCTTAATTCTCAAGACTCAAAAGGGGTTTGAAAAACAGATTGAATAGGACTTGCTTAATGTAGAAGAATATGAACAGATTTTTTCTTTTTCTTTTTTTCCTTTTTGGGGTCAGAGAAGCTAATCCGGTAGAAGTTATACATGTACTATGAATCTTTTGATAAGAACGACTTAGATTAGGACAATTGGTGGGGTCTCTGCATCTTCATTCACTTTCAGCTTGCAGGTGTCCACATTTTTGTGAGCTAAAAAAATACTCCCTCCGTCCACAATTGTTTGTCAGGGTAAGGTCATGCACATCCCTCAAGAAAAATTTAATAGAAGGTGTAATTTGACTAATATAACCATATTATACCAAGAATGCCAAAAGTCTACATAACTTTTCAATTGAACTACACTATCATTAAGGGCAGAATTGGAAAAAGATGATTGATTGTTTAAATTGACAATTAAACTTGGACATCTATTTTTAATATACCTGCCAAATAATTGTGGACAAAGGGAGTATATATTTTTTCTACATGAGTCTCATATTAATTGATCAATTTCCTTTTTTTTACGGATATATTAAAAAATCATAAATAAGAGGATAGTTTTATCGATTCAGCCCTTAACTTTTTTGAAATTTTACAAATAAGGGTGAACACTTTCAAAAATAATTAATTATAAGGATAATATGCGGAAAAAATTAATTAATATTTTTTTTATTTTTAATAAGTTGATCAACAACAGAGACAACTATATTTAATATAGTGTCAACTGATATGAGACTGATAGAGTAATTTAATTTGGTTAAAAAAAGTTTAAAAAATAAAATTTATAATCTAGTTATAAATATTTGAGCTAATATTATCTCTTATTTATGAAAATAGATTTATTTTGATCTTTTAAATATAATTTTGAGCATAATTAATTTCTTTAAATTTACTAAAGTGGAGCATTTTTTAATATGTTTTGAAGGATCAAAATAAACATATTCTCATAAATAAAAGATAATTTAATCCAAAATGAACCTACTCTTAAATTTAAAATATGTTTTATTTAAATAGACTACAAAAAATAATGTCACATAAATCAAATAAATATTTGATTGACATTAATTGGAGATGATTTCTTCTTAACAATTTCCTCAGTGATTGATATTTAAATTTAAAATATGTTTTTTGTTTCTCCTTCACGCGAGAGAGAAGTACAAAGCGTAAACTATAATTTATACACGTTTTTAGTTTAATCATAGATTATGAAATTAAAAAATTTGAATTTTTTAAGTTGTATTTTAAAATTTGTGTTTTTTGAAAATAAGTAGTATTGTTTTGTTGCACTTGAACATATATTTTCATAGATTTTATAAGTGAAAATAAGATTCCTCCCAAAAACTGTTCGATAGTTTTTTGAAGACAATTTTTTACCACTAATCTAGTAAATAACGAGAAAATGAGCTCCAATGCACTTGTAGATAAGCTGAGCGTATATCAAGTACGTACAGTGTGGGTTCAATTAAATTCACTATTTTTCGAGCTCAAACTACAATTTATTGAATTTAAATTTTAAATTCGCCTTTTGAGCTAGGTATTAGAGAACCGCGCTTGTATCCATAGAAGTACTCACTGTGTCGGGGCTCAAAAGAAGAGAGGAACACCACGCGAAAGAAGAAGGCGATTGAGGTAAGCCTAGTGAAGTTGTACCGCATGCTTCAAAAGTAGTACTATTCGGTTCAATTTGGGGTCCCACATGTTTTTCGTCTGTTTCAACAATTGACTCGTTAGAAACCTCGTCATTTGATATCACCACTGAGGAGCAAGGAGGAAGAAACTCCCTCCATTGCCCACCAATATTACTCTTACTTGATAATGAATAAGTTGGTGAAAGATCAAGAGGGGGAGGCGCCACCTATTCATGAAAATTAAACATAATATCAATAATTAATAGTTGAAATAGCTAGTAATGTTTCATTTAATATGTAAGTTAATTTTTTAGATCTGATCATACAATTCAAACATGATATTATACAAGATGCATGTAACGGAGAGTGTTTAAGATAATGTTTTAACTGAGATGATCACACAATTCAATATATATATCAGCAACCTCTCGTGAATGCCCGGGGTTGGAGGTGGAATTGGAGTGAGATTGAAACTCGGGTGCAGCAGTTAACATTTGGACAACTTGTCTGAAATTAACAACTTCGACCCTATAGATTTTAGGGGGAATTGGTGGCGATGGAGCGATGGGCTTCTTGTTGATTGATCTTGATGAAAGGCTGCGAACTCTATGGAGAGAAGAAAGACATGGCTTTTCTTTCGTTTCTTCGTGTTGATCATGACCAGCAAAAGAACTTGAAGAACTAGACAAGGAAGAAGAAAATATTTTACTTGAATACGATTCCATTTTTGAGTTATATATCAAAGTATAAACTTGTTAAGTAGAATTTGTATTGTTAATTAATTTTGTGGCCTTGTATATATAGTGAGTGATTAGTGAAGGTGGCTAACAAAGTTGGGGGATTTTGTAAGGACAAAATATAAATTGTGGCAGTAATAGAAATTAAGAAGGTTGTGAAGAAGATATTTAATGAAAAATGGAGGATGTAATGTGAAGTTTGTCTTGAGCGTCGGCTATATATATGGATGGATGAAGCTGATCAACAATAAATCCAATATTAATGTCCACTGCTCAATTTTGACCTAATTAATAAATTGCTCTCTTCTTTTTTTGTTTCTAGTTACTTTCTTTGTTTCAAAATAAGGGATGTTTTGGTTATAGTAAAATAAATGAAAAAGAAAGGAATATGACCTCTATATTTTAGCGAAAAATATTTTTGATTTTTTTATGGAAATAAAAGTTCAAGTGTTTAAAAAATGAAACATTTTTATTTATTGTGAAATAAGATTGGAAAGAGGGACCTCTTGCATCGTCATTATCATCGCTCACCTGGCTACAATTATACTTTGACAAATAATCGTTAAAGAGATTGGCCAATTATACAACCCGAACTGAATTCGTGCGACTCAATTCAATTTATTTCCCAAATTTTATATATAAATTCCCACTCGATCAACCAAATGTACAATCTAATTCAATTTTTTTCTCGAATTTTATTTTAAAATTCTCACGTTATTTGTTGTTACCATTAAAAATATACTTTACATGTTATTTCTTACGAAATTCTACAAAATTATTATTATAAGTATCTTTAGTAATACAAACTAACCACAGATAAATGATATTACAAGATTTTAAGAAGGAACTGATTTTATTTTTTCAAAAGTATCCTTATTTACATAATCAACAATAATGGAGTATTTTTCTTTTATTATTGTTCGGAGTAAGATAGTTCCTTATTTTTTTAAAGAATAAATAATTTTTTAAAAAGATTTGTCCTATTTATATACTTCTTTCGTTAACTTTTACTTGTTATAATTTGATTTAACACATTTATTAAGAAAATAATTAAATGATATAAATATTTTATCAAACTATTTTCTATTAAATGATGTCTTAGAAAGTGATTTGTAAAATAAATATCTAATGCTAAAGATAAAACATAAAAAAAAATTAGTATCTTTTTTTGATAAATTAAAAATAACAAATAAAAATAAATAACATAGAGGGTAGAGGGAAGGTAAAAAAACAAACGCCATTTATTTTTGGGAGTAATGAAGTAACCTTTCTTTAATGCTTGGTGACTACCTGAGGACTTATCTCAGTTACACGTGCAGCCTTGGAGTTATTTAGTGGCGGCGCCGATCTTCTCTCTCCTTCGACTGATCCTTGACTGGTGAATAATTTTATCTAGAGATGTATAAAGAAAATCAGCATACCGGACTAAATTGATAATTTGTGGGGGGGATCAATAAATACAAATTTGATTTAATATTATTGTTCGGAGCAATAATTTTGACGTAATAAAATAAAAGTTTGATTGATCATTCGCAAATTAGAGCACACTATTTTGTAATTAATCTTATTCAATTTTGTGATGAGCATTTTATATATTTTTACGTGTGTGGCTCTATTATTAGTACATTGCTTGTATTTACAATTTAATTAAAAGTTCAAAAATATTATTGATGGACAAATAAAAATGAATTGAAAAAATATAACAAACTTCAATAATGTGTAACTGTGCAAAAATAACATCAAACAGTCTATTCAAACCTTCATTTATAAAACTTCATATTCAATCTTATTTGAAAAATTCAATCAAACAGAGTCATAGCCTTTGAGAAAGACAGTAGACGGAAGTCTTCTAGAACTTAATTAATACTTCTCTATTTCTATTTACTTATCTATTTTCAACTTGATATACCTATTAATTGTCATGAACTCATGACAAAGTGAATTTATTTCAAAATTAATTTACCTATTAGAGATATTTTACTTTTTTTCAAGAACATCTCTAAAGGGACAAGTCCAAACAAAATTTACAGAGTATAAAGGGGTAGAGAGAGTATCTTGAATTGTTGGGTTGAAATTTTACAAGTATATTCACATGATACTTCTCTATTATATTTTACTTGTCAAATTTTGACTTAACACATATATTAAGAAAATATTGATGGTTAGTAATAAATTTATCATTTTACTGTTATAAATTGATAGATTCGGAAATATCTTTACTTACTACTCCTTCTGTTTTTATTTATATGTCATCCTTACTAAGAATATAGATAGTCCTTAAGTATGTGTCATTTCATAAAATCATGCACAAATGACATTATTTTTTCCTATTTTACCCTTGAGAGTTATTAGCCTTGAAAATAAATATTTGACCAACATAGAAAAACTAAGTAAATAGTTTATGTCCATTGCTCAAATAAATTAATTCATGTTCATTTATTGAAAACTTGTCTTCAAGAGAACGCTAAATAAGAGTATAATGGTAAACTTACCTGATTTCTTAAGGAGCGTGAAATCTAAAATGGTGACATATAAATAGGAACGGAGGAAGTATATTTTTTAAACACATTAACTTAATGTTAATAAATTGAGGATATTAGAGTATAGATTAAAAAAATTGTCAAAAATAACACGTAAAAAGAGAAAAATTGAACAAATAAAAAGTGACAGAAAGAGAGAAATTAATTTAGTGTTTGTCTAACTTATTCATTGCCTCCATTTATATGTCATACCCAATTAACACTACAACAATTGATAACTAATTGAAACAATAAAGTGTAAATTGAAAAATAAATTTTTTTTGTATCAAATGACTTTTTCCTATAATAAAAATACGCATAGTTTGAAATAAATTCAATTTATCAAAACAATCAATATTTGAGACAGGTAGTATCATTCTTGGGTTTACGTAGCCGGGAACTACATATTATCAATACTTGCAATCACTTCTGATATTAATAAGTTAATTACTCTGTCTATTTGTGTTATTTTTTACTTTTTGATATTAAAGTTATGTAAAATTTTGATAACATTTTAAAGTAATTCTATGTTTTTTCATGCCATTGATATGACAACTTAATTTTTCATACAAAATTTAAAAATCTAGATCTAATCTCAAAATATTTAACTAATCTAATGCAACACCAACAATGATTGGTTAAAATAATTTTTGGGAACTAAAAAGTACCAGATAAATAGATAAATTGATACTGCGAGAGTAACACCTAATATGTCTTAAATATCGTGACGTCTTGGGAGTAGTAATCTGTTTCTTGTTATGAACATTTAATTAGGGGTGTGTATCGGATGCTTTGGTTTTCTATTATAGATTTAGTTAATTGATTTGTTTTTTAAACATGTTAAGCCAATAATCAAAAAAATAAAACCGAACTAATAATTCAATATTTTTTTATAAACCATTAAAACCTGCTAATTCAATAATATTTTTTCGTCGATTTATTAATCTATTCGATTTTTACAGACCCAACATTTAATGATCAAAATGTATTGCTTGCCAATAATTTGGAATTCAACTAAGTAGTACAATTACGAACAAGAGTTTTGGTCTTCGAATAACAAACTCACTTGTAATAATTCAAAACAAAGACCAACTAGTCATGCCCAACTTATTGAAAAGTCTCGAATCTTTCAAGTTTCATTATTGAAAGTCATACTACTACATTATTTTGTTTTGACTATGAAGCACCTACGTATCACTCTTATGTTTATGTTTATTTATTTATTATATTAAAAATAATTTATTTATTTATTTATTCAGTATACAAATTTAAGAGATAATTTATTATTTAGTTTTTAATTATCCTTATTAAATTTTCAAGACGGTGAAGTTATTATATTCAAAGGTTAAGACTTGATATAGTAAAATTGTCATTCTATTTATTATAAAAATAAAAATATTTTTAAAGTTTTGTCTGATTTAATTTTCTCGATTCTTTTTCTCTAATCCTATTTAGCTTCTTTTTTTAATTCTTAATTTGGAAAGACATATAAAAAGTTAAGGTAAAGTTTAATTCTTTTTACCTATACTTTTTCCTTTTGAAAATTACTCATTTTTATTATTAAAGAAGACATTATCTGTCAAGTTACTGAAGGTGTATGAATCAACATACCAACAATGGAGAAAAACAAAGAATATTTGGGGAAGAAGAAGATATTTTCACTATTATGTAACTGAATACATGTGCCCCTACAGCTCACTTTAACTAACTGCCTAACAATATTTCTAACTAATCTGGATTAATGACTAAAATAAATTAAGCTTAGCCTCATAAACAGTACTAACTACTTTTAACTAACTAGTCAGTGTTTAGAGACTAAGGTACATTTGTGCATTTTCCAATTTCCTTTACACTCCCCCTCAAGCTTGGACTTATGAAGATGTTCTACATTCCGAGCTTGGGCATCATGTAAGTATGAGATGCTTTACCAAGGCCTTTAGTGAACATATCAGTTGGTTGTTCTGATGAGGGCAAATAGGCTGTGACAATCAGACCATCTTGAATCTTTTCTCTAGTGAAGTGACAATCTATATCTATGTGTTTAGTCCTCTCATGGAATACAAAATTAGCAGCTATTTGGAGGGCTAACTTGCTATCAGAAAACAAGGAAACAAGTGTATTGACTTGTATACCAAGTTCTCTGAACAACCTTATCATCCATATCACTTCTGCAACTGAGGATGTCATAGCTCTATACTTTGCCTCTACTGAACTCCTTGAGACTGTGGCTTGTTTCTTGGACTTCCATAAATAGGAGAACTCCCATAGTGCACTAGATAACCAGTTATAGATCTTCTACTGTTTATGCAAGCTCCCCAGTCAGCATCACAATATACTTTCAACAAATTATCAACAGTAGCAGACATCAATATTCCTGATCCTGGTTCATGTTTTACATACCTCACAAGTCTCATGGCTGCCTCCATATGAGACTTCTTTGGGGAATACATGAATTGACTCAAACTCTGTACAACAAATGCTATGTCTGGTCGGGTTGTTGTGAGATAGAGTAACCTACCAATAAGTTGTTGGTAGCTAGAGGGATCTGCTAGTGTTAAATCTTCAGAAGTTGATGGTACATGTTGGTCAAACCCAACTGTGGTGAGTTTTTGATTCTGCTCCATAGGAGTTGCAATAGATTTAGCACCTGCAAGTCTCATGTCTGCCACCAACTCCAAGGCATACTTTCTCTGATGCATTAAAATCCCCTCCTCACTTCTGGCAAACTCAATGTCAAGAAAGTATCTAAGTTCTCCTAGATTCTTGATCTTAAAAGTTGCATGCAATACTTCTTTAGTGTGTGAATGTAACACCCCGAAAATGCTAACAAAAGTCGCATATCAATAAACCACTGCTTAATTATTACAATATGTTTAATTCTCATTTTGGGAACTTGAAATAATGTTATATTTGCAACATTGCTTAAAATAATTGTCATCGTAATTTAATGTATTGTATGGGGGTATTTGCGTAATGTTTTAATTAGAAAAATGTATAGCTTTAAAAGGAGGTGTAAGATATATATATATATATAGGTGTATATGTATGCATTTGGCAGCACACAAGTATTTGGGCAGCCAACTTTTATGGACAGTTGTGTAAATGATAAACACCTCTTGTGTTACTATATTCTGGCACCTCCTCTTAGGAAATTCGTCTCACCTGAAGTATAAGTTCCTTAGAACATTATCTAACCTGTTGTTCTTCAAGATCACAAGAGAAAATCTTGGTCCTTTTGGCTGGAAATCGAGTTTCACTCTTCTCTTTGGTTGTATATCCTCGTGTACAAGTTGAAGACTCTGATACTCATCATAAGAGAAAATCTTGGTCCTTTTGGCTGGAAATCGAGTTTCACTCTTCTCTTTGGTTGTATATCCTCATTTGTACTCTTTTTACCTGCTGGTATATCTGAAAGTATTCTTGGTACCTTGGTTACCTCTTGTCACTTTGCATTGTCGTATTGGTATTCTTTAATACATTAAAGACGCTTATGTAACTCGCCCACTTGTACGGATTGTTTGATCACTTAGCACTCTTGTTGGGACCTTGTCCTTCTTGTGGCTGTGACTTTGTCACTCTTGGCATGCCTCTTGGTTCGGATCATTCGCCATCTTGACTGTGGATTTTTAGTTCGTCTTAAGAATGGAAGTTGTCCATTTTAAGTACGAACTAGGAAGCCATTTTTTAATATGGTTCTTGGTTCTCTCGATTATTGGGCTTTGACCCTTCTTGATGCAGGGCGTCGGCCCTTCTTGATACTTGCTTGTGCTTGGTGTGAAGACATGAGGTACATATTTGGCGAGCCTTGTTATTGAACCTCTTGGAAATTTGTGCTATGAGCGTTCTTGACATTTGGATCTTTAAATATAAAACTTGATACTCTTTATATATTGTTTACTTGATTTATTTATTATGTTCAATTATGCTGCCCTTGACTTGAGAATGATAACTTGGTAAATTTAAGGGCTCCAAATTTATAGTTTGTACACCACTAAGCTATATGCTTAGCGATAGTTGTTTCTATCGTAGGGGTTGTTCGCGATGATACTTGAAACTGACAATTGATGATGGAGATTTTGAAAGCCTTAAGGAAAATCACATTAATTGCATATAGGCATATATATTTTGTATAACCTTGGGACTTGTACATGATCTTTGTGCTGTATATTTACAGGAGATTTTGAGGGCTGATTTGGTCATGTCACCATGGGTTGTAATATAAGTATGGTTATACGTTTTTATCCTTTTGGAGTGTGTAAACCCAAGTCTTGTAATATACTAATTTGCTATATGTCTTGAAAGTTGTGTGAAGCATGAGCCGGCTGATTTCGGTACTTGGAAGCTTGTAATATTCTTGTTATTTCACCCTCGAGTGTGAGGTTAACATATGCATAAAGATCTGGTCGGTTAATTGTTTAAATGTTGTATTTTTTTTTGGAGTTCGTTATGAATCTAATCCCTCTACTAGATTAAAATCAGTATGCTCTCATTAGTTGATTTTAAATGTCGCAAGTATTTAATTAGATTTCTTGTTTAAGTAGTGGTATCGTTTTGAAAGGATCGCTACAGTGAAATTATGGAATGATCATTACGAGTAATTAGTAAGTCATCCACATAAATCAAGACTATAACAATCTTGTCACCTTCCCTCTTAGTAAACAGAGAATAATCACTTGAACCTTGATGAAAATCAGATGAGGTCAAGGCAGTAGTAAGCTTAGTGTTCCATCGTGAAGCCTGCTTTAGTCCATATAAGGACTTCAAAAGCTTGCATACTTTTCCAACACTTTTCTCTTTTACAATAAAACCTTCAGGAATGGTCATGTATACTTCTTCATATAAGTCTCCTTGTAAGAATTCATTGTATACATCCATTTGGTATAACTTCCACCTCTTGACTGCTGCCAAGGAAATAACAGGAATAAATGGCACAGCATGACAACCTATAGACTAAATTGGCAAAAAATAGCTCATTTTTAATCTATTGGCAAAAAAAGGACTTTCTTTTATTTATATGGCATTCAATAGTTATTTTGCTTTTTCTTAAAAAATGTATTTATGTTCCCCTTATTTTTCTCTAAACACGTTTGATTGCTTCCTTTTTTTTCTTGAAAAGGTAAAATTTAATGTTTTATTATTCCTTTTTTTATCTCTCCTTTTTGTTTGTCAACCATTTTTAAATAGACTTCTTTCTCTTTTTTTGTCTCCTTTATTTTCTTTCTAGAATTCTTTTTTATACGTATATTTTGTTTTCTCTCCCCAAAATTTTTTTTTGTTCTTCTCCTTAATTCACTTTGTTTATGAAAATCAGATATAACAATATGTTTATTCATGGATACTTCTAATAATACTATTTTATATAAAAAAATTTGCTTGTCCAATTAATTGTTGAATTTCATGATTTGTGGAATTGAGGTTTTTTCAATTTTGTTTTTGCGAAAATTGAGGTTATTAATCCTTTTTTTATTTTAATTCTAAAATCTTTTTCACATGTATATTTGTTGCTCTTCTAATTTTTTTCTTATTCTCCTTAATTTACTTTGTTTATGCAAATCAGATGTATGTTTATCCATTGGTCCTCCCAAAATCTTCTTTTAATATATAATTATGTAGTGTTTTTTTTCATTTAATTTTGAAATTTCGTGATTTGTGAAATTAAAAAAATTTAAACTTTTTTTTTGCAAAAATTCAGGTTATAATATTTGAAATTTTTGTTTTCAATTTCATGGGTAATAAATGTTCTCATAAGATCCTCGTAAAAAATTAGAATGTTGATTTTGATGAATACAAACTAAGGTATACCAATAAATGTCAATCTCAATTTGAATAAATGTATACAAATTTATTAGGTAAATACAGACCAATAAATACATAAATGAATACGAACCAATGTATACATAGTGCAGTTACCGTATACATAACAAAAATCACATGTACAATTTATGAATAAAATTTAATTTGTACATTTATCATATTAACTTCATTCTTGTATTCATTATAGTTTATAACCTATAATTGTTGGTAACATTCTTATGTATACATTATAAGTTTATGTATACATGCTACAATTATGGTATACATCAATAAAATTTACACGCCTATTTTTATGAATAATTTTTGTGTATACATATAGATTTTTTTTATCTATACATTATGTAATTGCAACTTCAATTATTTTATAATTTTTGCATACGTGTTATTACAGTTTCTAATAAAAAGCATTGCCTCTTATATTATTTGATAATTAACACACGTTAATTGAGCACTAATAATATATATTGTTTACCTTAAAAGTAGTCGCCGTCTTTTGATAAGTTAATTAAAGAATTAAAAAAATCCTTCCTTGAAAGTTGATATAACCTTCTTTTAATGGGTTAATTAATAAAAAATAATTCATTTCTTAAAAGTAGGCAACCGTTTTTAATAAACTAATTACTATCGGTTGGTAAAAATAAATTATAAAATTACAATCAAATATATATTTATGTTGTTGTAAATTGTGTTTAATATTTATTTTTTTAAAATAGAGTGATAATAAAGTTGAGTTTGAGAATTTAAAGAAACTGAAAAGCTAACTTCCTTAATTATAGGAGTTAAAAATAAGGAAGAAAAAATAATCCCATATCTCCTTAATTAATGCTGGTTGGTTGCACATGGTTTAAAAAAACGGAAAAGGCTCAAAAATACCCTTGAACTATCGGAAATAGCTCACATATACCCTTAAACTATATTCTGACTCAAAAATACCCTTCGGTTAAAGTATTGGGTCACAAATACCCTTACTATTAACAGAGGTGTGTTAAGTGCCATGTGGACGCCACGTCGATGCCACATAAGCACCAAACAACTCTCACCTCCACATAGACCCATACATCCTAAGTATTAATTTTGCCCTCATTTCTTTTGGGACATACAATTTGACCCACTCTCATTTCTCTAAAATACATTTTCCCTCTTTCTCTCTAATATGATTTCTCCTCTTTCTCTCTAATACGATTTTACCTAGGATTTTAGATTTCCTCTCATGGAATGGCGTCCATGAGAGGAAATCTGAAACCCTAGATGAAATCGTATTAGAGAGAAAGAGGAGAAATCGTATTAGAGAGAAAGAGGGGAAATATATAATTATAAGAAAATTGACATATGGCAGAAAGAGGTTATGAAGAGTGGAAAGGAGTAGTACACGTGGGGCAGAAGTCACTGCCAAACACTGATAGCTGCTGTTATTAAAATAAAATAAAAACTTGTACCTATCATCAATTATCGTATACGATTAATGGATTGGATATGAGTAGGTTGTAAATGTGTCGAATAAAAAAAAAGTTGAAAAACTAAGACTTAACGTAGTTAGTTTCCTCAATTTATTAGAATATTGTATTTAGATATTTAAATTAATTTATGTTCAATTATACATCTTAATTTCTAATAAAGATTGATGCGGATTCTTATTTGTCAATTATATAGTTAAATTAATCACGTAAAGTTTATTTTTTCTTTTAATTATATAAATTAGCTTTAATAAAAATGTGTGAAAATTTACATCTTCTTGAGGCAAATGGTATAATGAGAGTAAATGATATATATTTTATATAGTTAATTTAACTATTTAATAGATAAATAAAAATATAGTCCTAACATAAAAAAATGTACAAAATTTGAC